AACCATATGTATTTTCTGACTCAACTCGTCGAGTTAAGTCGGAATATAGCAAAATTTTTCAAAAGTTTCGTCATGAGGACCATTGTAATAGTTAGATTTTTATGAAATCTACTAAAAATTAGGAAAACGGTTGACCCTGAAGGCCATCCCTAAAACTTCCTGCTAATTTCATACCTAAGCGCTTAAAATTGCATTTATGACGTTTGCGAGCTTTCTGAGCACAAAGAGTTAGCTAGTTCTATGCTTTTGACCTCTTCGAACATAAGAGCCTGATAGAAGTTTAATAAAACGCTATTCTTGAAATTTTCAAGCTGCAATTACTTTTGAATGAATTAGCCGATTTTCAGGCGGTTGGCAGTATTCGATGCAGTTTTTCAAATCCTATGATTTTCTTTGAAACACAAATCATCACATCGAAAATTTTAGAGAGATTTGAAAAATTCACTTTTTCGGAATTTGTTCGACAACGATAAATCACGAACCAATCAATCGATTTCGACGTTCTTGGATATTATCGACGTGCTATTTTGATCTTGTATAGTTATATCATTACATTTAAAACGATTCAAATAGAAATGTCGGAGTTATCTAAAACAAACACTTTTTTAACTTCCCGCTAAGAAAATCGAAGATTTTCGAAAAATCGGTAAGTTATTGGTTTCACCCCGTTTTTCGAAAATCGAGTTTTCAACGGATGTTGACGTTTTGAGGTCCTAGGAAGCCTCCCCGAATGTTTCCGCGATGATGTCCGTACACACACACACACACACACACACACACACACACACACACACACACACACACACACACACACACACACACACACACACACACACACACACACACACACACACACACACACACACACACATACACACACACATCGTACAGACATACAGACACCATCGCGGGAATAGTCAGGTAGGACCTCGAAACGTCGAGATCCGATGAAAACTCGATTATCGAAAAACGGGGTAAAACCAATAACTTCCCGATTTTTGAAAATTATCAATTTTCTTAGCGGGGAGTTAAAAATGTTTGAGATTATGAATATGCTGTTTTACTCTGTTACATTTATAGACTTTGTAAGAACTAGATAAGGATGCTAACCATACAAGTAACTATTGTTATTTTCATCAATTTTTTCTCTATATGTCAAATATTTGTATTAACTAAAACTCTTCGATTTTCAGTTCGCCTAATGGAGCTGAAATAAATTAGCGAAACGTTGCAATTCTTATAATTTAACATCATTTATTGTCCAAATACCCAAGATTAAGTTATTTAAATATTAAGAATATTGTTTTTTAACTTGCAAATAGGGATATTAATGAGCGCTATCAGTTTAAAATACTGAGAACTTCTAATTACGATTATAATTATTCACGATAATTATAAATATCGAAATATCTTAATTCAATTTAATCTCAGAAAATCTTAAAAATAGTCGAAGATCTACGCAGACCTTAAAACACTTTTATTGAGAAGCTCAATAACATTGTTCAATTATTATGACAGTTATTATTACAGCTGTTGATCGGTCACAAATTCCCGCAGAGGTATTTCAATTATTAGATGAAATTACCTGAAGGTTCACAATCATCTGCGATGGTTTTCTACCGCTTCAGAGCTTGGAGATTCAGCTGCTGGCACTGCTTGTTTAGTAATGTAAAGAAAGAAAAAGTATTAAGATGAAAGGATAAACAGTGTAGCTGGATGCAGATGAGAAAGATGTGATATGTATCTTTAAATCTTGAATATGTATAATCTCATAAAGCCATGTGCACGAAGAATTTCATGTTAGAAGGATCAAAATGCATTATTAGAGTGGTGAGAAAATGACCTTCACTTGTGATTGCACAGTCGCCTTTCTCCCATATATTATTTTTTGATTTGTTTTATTTTTTTGTTTGTTCATATTACGAATCGTAATAGTAGTTCATATAATTCGATTAAATTAAGGGAAACAAGACAAGTACTTACTATTGTGCGCTATAAAATTATTATTCTGACTTAAAAAAATTTTTTTTCTCCTATCAAAAAACAGGCGAAATCGTAGGCATAGTAAGCTATGAAGAGTAGGGTGATCAAAAAAAAAAATTTTTTTTTCTTCCAAACTGGTTCAAAAGTTTCTTTCGGATGTAAATAAATTACTATGAAAAGATGAGCCCTTAATATTAATATTAAGATTGTCCTCATCGCATTTTTTTAATTTTCATAAGAATAACATGGGAAAAATTATTTTTGCCATGTTATTTTCTTCTTCTAATTTTTATACCATTTATACGACTGCAGTCATCATGATTGACTTATCAATCGCTGTTTCAATCTTTGTAGAGAATTGAACGCTCTACAAAAAAGGTATAAAAAAATTTCTTTGTAAAGATATATCTGTCCATACGCTCAAAAGTTATTCAAAATCAAAGGTCAATTTTTCAAAAATTTGATCGGATTTTATAAATTACACCGAAACTGTTGGTTTCAGTATCAAAATAAGGATCATATTTTTTGTCAAACATAAATTGGACTTCTGATAAATATATATTTATATTTACATATGTTGACCAATGATTTTTTTTCATTCAATTGAAAAAATATGATGCTTTTAAATAATTTTTTCGCAATAAACCAAAAAATAAACAATTTTATTCTATTATTATGTTCACTTTTTCATTTTATTAATAAGTTTTGCTCAAAAAATGGCTTATTTATTTATATCAAATATTTATGATTGAAGTGATTTTTTATAATAATTCGGAAAACGTTGTCAATGGCCACGAACAACCTGTAATAAAAACTGTAACAGTTCTTCGTTTTGAGTTAGGCAGCAGTTATATTCTTCAATTAGTGCAATACCCCGTTTAGCAACGTCGTCCATTACTTTCAAAGTTTTAAAAAATTCCAGACAAATTTTGAAGCTGTCATCATTGGGCAATGTAGAAATATCTTATTCTATGAAATCAGAGGATAAATCAAATGTTTTAAATAGTTCCCGTGAGGTTTTCGAAAAAAAAGTCGCTCAAATCGTTATCTAATAACGATTTTAAATTTACGTCCTCTACATGATATCACTGATGCATTAATGTAGAGCCCTCTCGAGTGTTAATGACATGAACAATTTTCTTTTTAATGAGCGTGTTCAACCGAACTAAGTCCTGAGTAAACTTAGTAAGATATGTATAGTATAGTAGATAGATATATGTATAGCAGGGAATGCTTTGACTATACTTAGGCTAACTAAGTTTACTCAGGACTTAGTTCGGCTGAACACGCTCAATATTGATCGGAATATTGCCGTCGAATAATGAGGTGGTGCCTAACTCGTTATTTAAATACTCGAGTCAAAAATCTAACTCCGTTTTAACTGTAAAAGTTTTCCAACCCTTTGAAGTCTGATTTACCGCCTAAAAAGAGGTCTGTTTTGACCGTAAAAGTGTGCGCGGCAGAACAAGTACGATTAAAACAAGAGTATTTGATTCTGTTTTGACCGTAAAAGTATGCGCGGGAGACTAAGTACGATTAAAACAGGCGTATTTGATTCTGTTTTGACGGTAAAAATGATCAATAAGTTATTATTATAATTTTTTTTACTTGTGGGAATGGATTCAAGCTCCGGAGTCTGACATTTTGTTTTTGTAACTGCAAAAATTCAAATTGATAAAAAAATTTTGTAAAAAATTTTATTTAAAAATTTTGTTAAAAATTTTATTTAAAAATTTTGTTAAAAATTTTGTAAAAAATTTTATTTAAAAATTTTGTAAAAAATTTTATTTAAAAATTTAACATTTTTGAAATTTTTTTTTTTTTTTTTTTTGATTTGTTTAAAGTCGCATAAACTACTAAGGTCATGAGCGACTACGGTAGGGGGTAAACTTTTGAGATTGGAACTCGTTTGTATTTCTTGGGCTGAGCAGAATAATACACTTAAATATTGAAAATATTCATTGGTGTACGCCGGATTCGAACCCGGTCCAATGCTTTGATAGCAAGGGCCGGATCCGATAGGCTACTGCGTGCCTTAAAATTTTTAATTTTAAATTTCATGTCAATTTAAAATATAATTTTTATATAAAACTTACTTGTAAATTAATATAATAGTTTATGATTTATGTATTTATAATTTATTTGTAAATTTTATAATAAATTTTTATTAAAAAAAAAGAATATATCATAACTTGTAAATTTTTATCATTATAAGTCTCATTTTTTGGCATTCATAAAATTATTTTGGAAAAAGTATCGTGTTTATTAAATAGTAACTGAGTAACTAAAATTACTAATTTTTTTATATAAAGTGATATATTACAATTATATACATTAATTTTATTAGCAATTAAATCAAACCTATTCATTATTGTTTGAATTAATAGGTATGGCAACGTACAAATCATCTCCAACTTTAACTCCAAAACAAACAGAAATCAATCGATTGACATCAATAGATATATAATTGTCCATCTTTAAACTTTTGTATAAATATGGAATATTGTACTGAACATTTTGATTATATGTCACATTAAATGCTCTTTCACTCAAAAGTGTTTGGATTATAACTTGGTGAACAGGTGGACGATGATTTAGACAATTATTTTCATTTATACATTGACAATAACTCAATTTAACAAAGCAAATGATTGAACCAAGATGATATCCAGTGTGATCTCTATATAAAGCATACGATGAAGAAGTCTGTAATGCTCCAGTATATCGTTCAGAGACATACAATTTGCCATCTTTTAAAAATCGTAGGTACTCTTGAATTTTTAGAACAGGTAAAAAATTTTCTAGAGCTAACTGAACATTATTAGGGATCATATAATCATCATTGTAAGTTTTATATGAACCTATAGTATAACAACTGTCCATGTTGTAATCGTTCACAAATTTTGTTATTATGCTTATGTTTTATACAAAAATCTTTGATTTTTCCTTCCGGTAGCTCATCAACAAATTTTTGAAGTTTTAACTGTTGATTATGTGATCTTACTATTTGCGAATCGATGAGTCTAGTTCCGTTAATTACATTCAAATATTGTCCGTTTAAATCTTCATATCGAAAACAGTCATTCGCCTACAATGGTCCAAGGGCAAGGACACATTTAGGTAGATGTATAATGAGATGAACGTTGATAGAACAGTTTTTCAATCCATATAATACCTCAAATTCACTTACAAATTTGTGTAAAATGTTAGATGCTACATTTACATCAATATTTGGTATCGAATCTGAATTTAAAAGCGAAATTCCGGCAACAAATAATGAAAAATGCTCATAATACACTAGTTGCATCACTCCATTCATAACTGGTAAAACATAGTAAAAGAACCAATTTTTAAGTTCAGATGCTTTCCAATGAAGAAGATCTTCGGTTGAACGAGGCATGCGGTGCACGAAACTTGGTGGTTTGATAGAAATCAATCGATTATTAATAATGTCTGACGCATCAACCAATGAGTATGGTTTACCCCGATTACTAGAATCAAACCATAATGACAATAGTTTTTTCACTACACCACCAGAAACACAATGCATTTGATCAATAGCAGTACCAGTAATAAAATCAGGCATTAATTTCGATAAAGCGCATGGTCCTTCGACACCCATGTGCGTAGAGTTATTATTTAAAGCAATTTCTGCAAATGCGACACTTTGTCTTGTTGTTCGTATCTCGGGATCCGGAGTATATCGATAAATGTGAGTATGAGGGAAACGACGGAGAAGTCGATCAAGACGGCCGTGCAACTCCTGTTATTCGACGACGTGGACCGAATAGACCCAGCCGCACTCTGTTACGGCTTGTAGACGTGGAGAACTCATTGGACAAGTTCAGCGGGGATGATTTATTTAATGTTTCCCGTTGGATTGAAGATTTTGAAGAAATGGCAGAAGTATGTGGGTGGACTGACGCTCACAAAGTCGCATTCGGAAAGAAGATGTTGACGGGTTCAGCGTTAGCTTTTGTGCGACAAGAAAGATGTGCGAAAACGTGGGCAAAGCTTAAAAAACCCTGAAGGACGAATTTGAGGACGAAGTGACCGACCAGCAGATTCACCGAGAGCTGGCGCAAAGAAAGAAGAAAGCTGATGAGACTTTGCAGCAATACATGTACGCTATGCGTGAAATTGCGGGGCAAGGAACAGTAGATACAAGATCATTAATTGAATATATTGTTCAAGGTATCCCTGATGAAGTAACGAATAAAAGTGTATTGTATGGTGCCAAAACAATGCAGGAATTAAAAGATCGTTTCAAGCAGTACGAAGCGATGAAGAGAGATATGAAAGCGAAGTCGAGGCTCACCGAGAGGAAGGACGACAAGACGAAAAAGCCGGAAACAAAAGGTCATCCGAAGAAGCGAACAGCTGGTGAGAAAAGTGACAAAACGAGGTGTTATAATTGTGGGTGCGAAGATCACGTTAGTGCGGAGTGTCCTGATAAGGAAAAAGGTGTGAAGTGTTTTAATTGCAATGAGTTTAGGCATATCGCGGCGCGGTGCCCAGAAAAGAAAAAACAATCCTACGCAGTTTCAAGACCTGAAAAGAAGAAATATATGAAAGAAGTCTCGATAGAGGACTGTAAGTTTATAGCGTTAGTGGATACAGGTAGTGATCTAATTTTTATAAGATCGGATGAGTATGCGAGATTAGGATCACCACCACTAGGTAATTGTAAACTTGAATTTGAAGGGTTTGGTTCGACTGACAATGAAACTTAGGGCGAATTTACGAGAGTAATGAATGTCTATGGATCTGATTTCCTTGTAACTTTGCATGTAGTATCGAACAAGATCTTGTCAAAACACAGTCTATTGTTAGGTACTGATTTCTTGGATCAGGTAGAATTGCGAGTCAAGCGGGGGGAAGTGAGCTTTTTTCGGCTTGACGAACAGACTGACGAACACAAGGACAGCCCAGATATTTTCAGCATAAATCTAGTAGATCAAACTAAGGAAGTAGATTTATCACACGCAGAAGATCCACACTACCGTGAAGCTATCCGCGATGTTATTAGGGGATACAAGCCGGAGAAGACGCGAGACGTTGGGATAACCGCAAAAATCGTTTTGAAAAGCGATAAGCCGGTAGTAAGACGACCGCGTAGGCTAGCACCGTGTGAGAAAAAAGAGGTCGACGATTTAATGAAGCAATGGACAAATGAGGGCATTATAAGACCGTCAAATTCAGAATATGCAAGCCCTATAGTCGTAGTAAGAAAGAAAGATGGCTCCATCAGAGTCTGTGTTGATTTTCGTGAAGTAAATGAGCTTATTGAATGTCCACATTTTCCATTCCCATTAATTGACGATATATTAGACGCGTTACAGGGGTTTAAGTATTTCACGACACTGGATTTAAAGAATGGGTTTTTCCATGTGAAAATGCACGAGAACAATCGTAAATATACATCCTTTGTCACGCCAACGGGACAGTATGAGTTTTTAAAATTACCATTCAGTTTAAAGATTTCTCCTATTATATTTCAAAAATATATTACTATGATTCTTAAAGAGCTTATAGATAAGGGTATTCTTATAGTTTATATGGACGATATTGTTATTTTTGCGAGAAATCTGAAAGAAGCATGGAAACGTTTACTTATAGTAATAAAAATAACCGAACTGTATGGGTTGGTTATAAACTGGGAAAAATGTCATTTTCTATTGACAGAAATTGAGTATTTGGGGTACGTTATTTCGGAAAACATCATAAAACCGTCTACTCATAAAACTAAGGCCGTTGCTAATTTTCCCAAACCAACATCTGTTAAAAAGGTTCAGAGTTTCTTGGGACTTACGGGGTATTTTCGAAAGTTTATTAGGGCTTACGCGAAGATTGCTAAGCCGTTAACAGATTTGTTAAAGAAAGACGTTAAATTCCATTTTGGAGACCAAGAGACTGGAGCATACGAGACCTTGAAGACAGTACTTACTAATGGTCCTGTGTTAAAATTATACAGTATAGGGGCTAAGACTGAATTGCATACAGATGCGTCTATGGAAGGGTACGGGGCAATATTGATGCAATTAGATCCAGATGACCGGAAATTCCATCCGATTTATTTTGCCAGTGGAAAAACAACTTCTGCAGAGTCTAAGTATAAAAGTTATGAGTTAGAAGTACTAGCTATTATAAAATCATTAGTCAAGTTTAGAGTGTATTTGTTGCCTATACCATTTACTATTGTAACCGATTGTCAAGCGCTTACGATGACGATGAAAAAGAAAGATATGTGTTTGCGTGTTGTCAGACGGGCTTTGTTGTTGGGTGATTTTAAATATCAAGTACAGCATCGGCCAGGTGAAAGTATGCAGCATGTCGATGCTTTAAGCCGAAATCCATTGCCGAGTATTATGTATGTAAGTGAGAGTAAAGATGGGCTGATTGCACGTTTGTAACAATACTTTTCTCCAAATTTAACTAAATTTTTACCGGAGGCGAAGATACCGGCTGGGTAGGGTATTTTACGCTCGCCCTTCTTAAATAATATATAAATGATGATGAAATTAACCCGAGACTCCTCAGGCTGGGTTAGTGCACGAAAAAGACGCCAGGTAATTTTATCCAAAAATTACCAAAACAATACTAATGCCAGGGGCCTCGCCGGACGATCAATTAACGACTTGAAATGACGCGAATGGAAAATGAACCACGAAATAATCAAAGTTAATATCAAAGTAGAGTGAAAAATAAAAATAATAAATAGTTAACTATAAACAGTATCTCAAATTATCTAATTAAATAGGAATTGTAGGAGAAATTCCGGGAATTAATATATATAAAATAAATTATTATTAAATTGGTAAATATAAAAATAAACAAACAATTGATTCAAAGCGATATTATTTAAACTTATTCTATTTTCTAAACAACAGTTTAAATCCTTTATGGAATTCTTGATTAATATATACATAACTTTTTCTTTAGCTTAACTTATAATATTGCGTTCGAGAATAACAATAACCGCAATCAAAACAATAATTATAACAATCAACCAAAATCTGATAATATCGAACACAAGTCGTTCGTGAAAAATAACAAAGGTATAATAATAACTAATATCCGACAATGTCAATAATGAGTCACACTCGAGTGATCATAATTACAATACCAAATGATATTAATTATAAATAACGCAAAATAATCAGTATATTAATAATAATTAACAATCCGCAATGTTAACCGCAAATTGCGCTCAAAATAATAATTATAATAATTAACGCCTGATAAAATAATTGCCATAATGAACCATGACGTAATATCTCAATTAAGAATTGCTGGCCGTATCGAGGACCCAACACGCGGCTTTCGAGATAGGTACAAATATTCCCTTCTAATATAACCCTTACTCGCTACGGGATCGACCCGATATTAATCGATAGCGAATTTAATTAAACAATAAAACGAATTATCCAAGCCAGGAGACAGCGGTGTGCGGATAATAAAATGGCTCAACTTGTGAGTACTCACGGAAAAAGGAAACTCAACCCAAGGCACCAAATCCACACTCCTTACAATAGCGGAGGTCCCACGTGTCTTCCTCACACCAAGCGGGTCACCGCGTGTCTCTTCAATCTACGTCACCGTAAACCGTTCGAGGCCTCGTGTTCGATCACGAGGGCCTCTTTAGCCATTTTCCCAAATTTAATAAACCTTTAGCTCGCGATCGATAATACAAGACTTCACCCGTGCGAGTAAAGGCTATGATAATAAAACCAGGTACTATAACTATAATTTATGGCGATACATACAAATAATAATAATGATAATAATGAATTACAAATAATTCATTGTAAATATCTGAAACAAATGTAAAATTAATCCTTAAATTATAAACAATAATATTAAAAATTTCAAGTATAAATAATAATAATAATAATAATAATAATAATAATAATAATAATAATAATAATAATAATAATAATAATAATAACCGCCTTGTGATCACTAACCGCCTTGTTGTGCGGAGTGGTCCAGCAGTAATGGATGGAGCTCAGGCTGGGCCCTCGGAGAGTCGGACTCCGGGGAAAACCCCCCTGAGCATTTAATAACATAATAATAATAATAATAATAATAATAATAATAAACTTAATAAATAAATTAATAAATAAGTACAAAATAATAAAATAGAGACACACATCGAGTGTGGATCTGTTGCCAAATTTTAGGCGCAGGGAGGGGCGCGCACAGGGAATAAAAACCCTGTGACACGTTTAAGAAGTGCACAAAACAAGGACGTTGAAGTCCGTAAGCTGATAAATGCCGTAACGTGCAGCCAGACCGATGGGTATGCTATTAGAAATAATATTTTGTACAAAAATTGTAAAGACGATTTGTTAATTGTAGTACCTAAGGCCATGCAGACTCAGGTAGTCAGACAGGCACACGAGCGTGGCCACTTTGGGGTCACAAAAACCGAAGCAATTGTCAAGCCAGACTTCTGGTTTAAGGGGCTGCGAGAAAAGGTCCAGCACGTGATAGCAAATTGTTTAGATTGCATTTTAGCTGAGCGGAAGTTGGGTAAACAAGAAGGGTATTTAAACCCTTTGGACAAAGGAGACACGCCGTTGGACACTTACCATATTGACCATGTGGGCCCGATGACTGCTACAAAGAAAAGATACGTGCACATTTTTGTAGTTGTAGATGCATTTACAAAGTTTACGTGGCTTTATCCTACCAGATCTACCGATACAGCAGAGGTATTAGACAGATTGATGAAGCAAGCTGCCGGGTTTGGGAATCCAAAACGAATCATCTCTGACCGAGGTACAGCGTTTACATCTAATACGTTCAAGGACTATTGCACCAAGGAGGGCATTCATCATTCCCTAATTACGACAGGAGTTCCTAGAGGGAACGGGCAGGTAGAGAGAGTCAACCGAACTCTCATACCATTGTTAACAAAATTGACAGCGCCAAATCCCGATGATTGGTATAAACACGTTGACAAGGTGCAAAAGTTTTTAAACTCTACGGTTAACCGAAGCACTGGGAAAACACCGTTTCAGTTACTTGTTGGAGTAGATATGCGGCTTAAAGAAGATGTGCAAATTAGGGAGTTAATTGCAGCAGAGTGGACAACGCAATTTGAAGAAAACCGATGTGCGTTACGTGAGGAGGCAGCAAAGGCGATAACCGAAGCACAAGAAAGAAACAGAAGAAACTACAACAAAGGAAGAAAGGATGCCAAGCAGTATGAGAGTGGCGATTTAGTGGCCATAAAAAGAACGCAGTTTGGAGCGGGTTTAAAACTGAAAGGAAAATTTTTGGGTCCGTATCGCGTAGTGCGGGCGTTGCGGAATGACCGCTACACGGTTTAAAAGGTTAGGGAGCATGAGGGCCCAAGTCAAACATCAACGACTGCCGATTTTATGAAGCTTTGGACTGCCAACGACGAGGATGAAGATTCAAACAGCAGCGAGGTAGAAGAAGACATCTGAGGGCAGATGTCCTTGCAGGATGGCCGAGTGTAATATCAAAAATAAAAAAAGTATACGCCAAAATCGTAGGCCATCAGGTAGTATTTAAGTCTAGCTGTAAGATACGATGTCTGGAGTGTATGAGTGCGAGAGAGAAAGAATGAGAACGAGAGTATGTACTATGGTACTAGGTATGATTTTTAGAGATGCTAGAGTAAGTAAGTGGAGTAAGAAAAAGGGATGAGTGCTGAGGGTCAGTTGACCTGAGTGTGAAAATTAGTTCTATACGAGCATTTGACAAAGACGTGCCATTTTTCTTGTAAGACATTGTTTTAAATAAGCTCACAATCATT